AAAATACATTTTTTGAAAAAAAAAAATGAGGTTCAAACAAACCCTAAATATTGAGATGATGAGTACACCGCAATATTATATATATAATTATCGAATTAGGAGTATAATTGTAAATTTGTTGTGTATTTATTGAAAATATATTTTAATTATGATATGATTATAATGTGGTGTAGTAAGTAAATTTTGTTGTGGCAATATGATTACCCATTTTATAACTGTATTGTTTATTAAGGACATCTTTGTCTTTTACTATTCAAAAGGCAATCGTAGAAAACAGCAATTGTTGAAAATTTGAAATGTAAATTAGAGGGGTTGACCAGGCGAATTTAAAAGTACCCATCTCTATCCACAAAGGGGGCGTTCCAATTGGTTTAAATTTCTTCTTGAACTTTTTGAAAACAATCATGCTACAAGTACGTGTCCCTTACATTATTTTTTTATATTTTGCCACATAGTAACACATCATGAACAATTTAAATTTTTGATAATTTTTCCACCCAATCAACACTTGTCAACATATCGTGTCAACCATAATGTCATAAATCAATGTACATGTGACATTTTCCTTTTGAGAGCGAGTTTGATGGATATTATTGAGAAAATAATGTATTTTAAATAGTGATATAATGGAAAAATATGTGGTTAAAAAGTAAGAAAAAGTTATTGATATGATAAAAAATATTATTTTATTGAATAATGTGTGATTGAAAATAAATTTTGAAAGAATGTATTTTTAAAGAATGTGTGTCTAATAGGGGCTAAAAATATATCTCAATTATGTCGCAACATTTAGAAAAATGTCACAAAACTCAATGTTTTAAAAATTGGATCGGCCCAATTGGTTCAATTGAAAAAAATCGAAAACCAGAACAAAAATCGGTCTTGTTAGACTTATAAAACCTCTAATTAAAAATCTATCACAAAATCCGTTAAACAAGCCGCTTTTTGAAAAATACGTAATCCGTTCCCGATTTAACATGTTCAACCTATGTAAATGTATATTATTCTAATTTTTGTAAATTTATTTTTAAATTTTTTTAAAAATCACTGGTTCAATTTCTGTTCGACCCTGATTCAACCTTTTGACACTTATCCTTTTGAAAAGGGTCGATGACTAGTCAATTTTTAAAAATTAACTCAATTTAATTTTAAATATTATCGTATCATATTTTGAAATTTTACTACCCCCAAATTGATGAGAAATAATTTATTCAGTCATTGACCGCTACATACGTACCATTTTACCACTGATCTTAGTGTTTGTTTTAGAGACAATATTTAAAGTGAATTTTTTTTTTTGGGAAAATATTTGACTAATGAAAAAAAAAATTATGATTTCAAATAAAAATTATTTATAAAATAAATTAAATTTAAAGAAAATTAATTTTCAAATAAGATGAGCCAAACAGACTCTTACAAAGTTATTTTTCATCTTTTGACCTTTAAAAACGGCATTATCGAAGGTGCTTTTTCACTTTGAACATCATGGCCATAAATGAAATAAGATTTAATCGGACATACGTCGTTGTTTCTAAATAGATTTTTCTATCTATAGTTCGCTAAAATACAACATTAATTTTCCTAGAAATATTTGATGGAACCTAATAATAAAAAAATGTTGACATCATCCACTTTCTTTTTCTCTTTCCTTGGTAAGCCAACGAGAAAAATTGCTTGCTAGCTCAATAATCTTTTCCCTGAAGTAAATTGACATGTTGATTACCCAAAATTGGAAGAATAATGTTATTCATAGTGACAACTAATGATAGTCGTCCTATACACATGAAAGTTTGTTATTTGAAGTATAAAGCAATAAAAAACTACCACGTATATACCACATATGACGATTACCGGTAGTTTTCGCTATGAATAGCATTACTCAAATTAGGAAGGCATATAAATGCAAAACAAGAATAGGGCCGCCTGGCTCGAGATATGCTTCCGACTTGGCACACTATACACGCTAAAGAGCCGAAAACCACAATGAGATAATATCTGGAATGATAGCCAAGTTTACACATCATTACCATAATTCATTTACAATTTTAAAAGTAATTTGATGATTCATTGAAGCATTTTGGATCACTTCATGTCTGATTCCACTTGAATTTCACCCACTGCACAGGCATTAGATTCTTGTAAGTTTCTCTGAAAAAGTAAGTATAAAGAAAATAATCAATGGATTATTCTAGTGGTACATCACCACTTACACAAGGGTGTCCATTATGGACACCCTGATGTAAGAGGTGATGTACCTCTAGCATCTCCCATAATCAATTCACAAAACCAATTGAAAAGGCCACTAAGGATTACTCTTTAAATATACTCCAAGATTTGCTTGCGCATCAGCCTCAGTGTTGAAATCCTGGAAAAAGATACTTTTAGATGAGAAGATAATCGTCCACTTATAAGAAAATAGATAGGAAAAAAAGAAGATATGCAAATAATGTGTCATTTATGCATATATTCTCAGACCATAAGCAACTCCATGTATACATACAAATAAGTACGTATTATTAAGCATATGTTGTTTGTTGGTAAGGAGAGCTATGCAATACTCGACAGTACTCCAATGTGTCGAGTATATGTACCAAATATGTTCTGTGCGAGACCCTTTTGTGAAGGTAATAAGCCAATGCATAATTTCCAACTATATCTAAAAAGTAAAAGAAGAAAAAGAACTATATACCAAGGTAAAAACAAATAATGCATAATTTTCAAACTCGTAGTCCTAACAACTATTTGCAACAGAAAAAAATTGCTATAAATGCACTATTATTAAATCAAAGACAAACATAACATTGCTATTCCAGTATTCCTCAGGGAAAAAAAAAAGGTAAACATGCAAGATAACTTTTACATAGGTAAACGCAATGTTACGTGAACAAGTTCAAATCCGGCCATTACACGAGTAGGCAGGGATGAATCCAGGATATGATTACAAGCCAGGCTAATACGTAAAAAAAAAAAATTACACAAGAAAATTTTTTTTACACAATTTTTTTTTCTACTAAAAAAAATTGAATGGGCAGGCCCGATCCAGCCCCCTGCCAGATCCGTCCCTGCAAGCAGGTATAGATATTCTTGAATATGCATGTGACATGTAGTAAGCATGGTAATACTAACAATGACAAGTGATTAGAAACACTAAAGAGCTTGTAAGCTAAAGCTTAAACTTTTGTTTCCAAACATGCTCACATAAGTTACATTTACGAAAAAAATAAAAAATGAATTACTTATTTTGTAAGTAACTCTTACCTTACGGCCTAAACAAGGTACTTATTTCCCATTTTGATCCCAAAAAAATATTATTTTAAAACTTGCTTATTTTAATTATAAGTAAAATATTAAACTTAGTCAACCATTCTACTCTTGTACATAACGTGCTTACCTTCTTCGCTGAAATAAAGAATATGGAATAAGAAAACTGTAAGCTCGTAAAAACATTAATTAAGCACATAGAACCAGAATGAGATTAATAAAAACATTTTTTTCACGTACTCTTTCAACGTGACTGATCTGAAAAGACATAAACTGATCCTTTAGCTCTTTGGCCACCTTGCACAACTCGGCCATGTTCTGGTTTTTACATTTCCATAAACCTTGAATCTGTCCATCGGATATTTTCAAAAATCAAGTAAAAGAAATATACAGACAATCACATGGCGATTTGTAAAATAATGACACGTTCGGTAGGTGATTGAACTGTACTAGACAATATTAAGAAAAAGAAAGTAAAACCTGGTTTATTATGCTCTTCACTCGGTTGAAGCATACCAAACATACCCTAATGACATGTTTGGTAGATAGAGTCGGATACTGCTTGAAATAGCAAGGACTGTACCAACCATGCTCTAGTTGTTAAAACATTACAAAACTGAACCAGGGAACAAAACCCTCCAGACAGATAGTACCAGAGCAATGAACAAACGGCACCTACTGCTTCACATAATGAAGTATGTACTAATGATCACGAGTTTTTCCACAGCGCAAATTAATTTTCGAAAGCTGTCATGATTTTATTTATTTA